AGGACTCCACAGTTCAACCCTGAGCTACACATATTCACCTCTTTTGGTACAATAAAAGTACTTTTAACCTTCCTGTAGAATTGATTTCATGGCCTGGTCTACCTAGTGGGCCCAACAGTATGGTACCTCAAGATGGGGAGAGAAGAGCTCCCCACAGATAACGTTTGGTTGTGAATTTATATTTCAGTGTAGTATTTTGTCATTGTTTGAAATAATCTTATCCATTCTGTGTTTTTAGTTGCCATTTGTCCCTAAACAGTAACAAAGATTTTACTTATCTAACATAGTCCCTCTGCTGAGACATATCAACAGAAACCAGTAATATCAAATGTTAGCAAGAATAGAAACATAACAACATTTAAAAACTCAAAGATTTTGTTATTTATTTTGTGTTTGGCTTGCAGGCACACACAGATTCTTATTTTATATATAGTGTAATTACTAACAAGATTGCCTCACCCAGTCCTGTAGCAAGCCAGCTATTGACTCCATGCGGTATAGCATCATATGCTGTATGAGGAGAATAAATGCCAACTCTGTTTTCCAAGGCTCGGATTACCAGACGCTCCTTCCATGTTTTCCATGTTATACGTTTCAGTGGGTGGAAAATGGGTGGGTGGTAAGAAAGAATGAGGTTTGCTTTCTTCTCCAGGGCTTCCTGCATCACATCCTCGGTCAAATCGTTGGTGAGAAAGAGGGTACTGACAATATGAGGAGGACTTGGCTCAACCAAGAGCCCCACATTGTCCCAACTTTCAGCCAGGGAAAGTGAAGCAAAATCATTTAAGGAAGAAACGAGGACTTTCAGATCCATGAAGAAGCGCAAAGATTGAACAATCAAGGATGGTGCTTGCAAAAACGGTCGTGTAGCCAGCTTCAAGCAGCACAGAGGCATGCAGATTTCTAGAAAACCCAAAAGCAAAAACATTGTTGGGAAACCAGAATGAACAGAAAGTATAATCTAATAGAAGAGAATATCTGTGGCTCAGGGCTGAACTGTGGAGTCCTTGGTACTTTCTGAGTTTGCTGGTTTGCTTGCAGATGTTTCATTACCTGACTTGGTAACATCATCAGTGTGATGGGGTTTGCTGCCTGTTTTATATGCAGTAGCTTGCCCTGCCAGTTTTGGCAGGGGTGTAGTTTCCTCCTTGGTGGTTCCTTGATTATTGTTTTCTGCCTGATTGTTTGTCTGGGGCTAATCCTTGCTTACCTGAATGTGGGCTGCTGGAGGGGGTGTGTTCTACTCTTTTTGTTTTCTTCCTAAGTTTTTTATTGTCTCTTTTGAATGTTATGTAAATGTGGTTCATCTCTATATGTCTATTGATGGCTGATTTGTCTGAATGCCAAGCTTCCAGGAATTCCCTAGCATTTTTGGATTTGGCTTGGTCTAAGATGCAGTGAAATTAAGAAGTTTTCATCACACAACACATGGACAGACTCAACCACAGTTTCAACTGGGAAACTATTAGCATCTTAAACCTAAGAAGGAAACAAGAAGAGAGAACACATCCCCTCCAGCAGCCCACCTTCAGATAAGCAGGGATCAACACCAGACAAACAATCAAGCAGAAAACAATGCGCTAATCAAGGAACCACCATAGAGGAAACTACACCCCTGCCAAAACTGGCAAGGCAAGCTACTGCATATAAACAGGCAGCAAACCCCACACTCACACTGATGATGTTACCTGGTTGGATACTGTAATGAAAGTCTGCAAGAAAACAACCAAGCTCAGAGAGCACCAAGAGCTCCACAGAAAGTGCAATGTAAAAATGTATCATTGTTCCACGGAAATATCCACCTGAAAAACTTAAAATGAGCCCAGTTCAAAGCAGATCTGAATAGTAATGGTAATGCAAAGTCACAGGCAATTTTCAAGCGCAGCATTTTCTTGAACAATCTTACTTCTACAACAGACAAAATGGAGAATGGAGAATGTAAGACCATGTCTTTGATTTCTGGTCTTAAAAAAAAAGAAAGAAATCCCACCCAATTTTCTACTTTCCTCACATTTCTAAACATAGCTCAGTCTCGTGCATTGACTCCTTCTGCCTTCAATGGTGCTTTACCTTAGGTCAATCCTATCACACAGTGGGTTGAGATGGTCCACAGTTTACAACATTCATTTCAGAGACAGGAATTCCCTAGGAAGGTGGGCCAAAAGTAGCTGTCATGGATGAACCAGCTAATGACACCTATTTACAAGAACGCAAACTAAAGAGATTGTTCCTCTCTTGAATCTCAGGATGTTCCCTAGCATTCCCATCTGACCTTTGCCTTTCTTTTTCTGGGCAGGTGAACACCTTTCCCCAAAAAAGTACCAGGAGGCAACCACTTACTTACTTACTTATTAAAGAGCCTAAAGAGACTTACTGAATAGAGATGCTGGAGAATTTGCTTTGTACAAGATGATTGGTTTCCCAGTTAATTAGTTTTCCTTAAAAATGGTTAAAATGGGGAAAGAACAAGGAACCAATAGTAGTTCCATGTAACTAGGTTCACACATCATGCTAAACATATGTATTGCAACCTTCTAAAATGATAAATGAACTTGCATAACTTTTTTACAACCCATGATTTCACTGGTTGGGCAAGAAATTTATTATTATTAGTAGTAGTAGTATTAGTATGAGATTTATATCCCACCTTTATTTTGTACAACTCAAGATGGCATACATAATGCTCCTACCTATTTTCCTACTTTTGATAATTACATGTTCATATACATATCACCAGGGTTCTCAAATTTGATGGGCTTATGCAGTCAAAGCAGGGACCAACTCCTGGAGTGAGTTTTGACAACACTGAAGCTTTGCCTATGTAAACTCTGGAGAACCTTGGATAAAGCTATAATGCCGTTTGTTTGGTTTTGATTTAACTCATTGTGTGATCTTGCCACTGGAGTTTGCAAATCCTAACTGATAGCATAGAGTTATGAATGAATCCAGCTAACTGTGGCATCTTCAACAAACCAACATGAACACAAAGTGTGTATCCAACCACAGCCTTGTCCAAGATAGAAACAGGGCTGTCAATCATATTACTGCAACATCATCATACATCCAGAGAAGAAAATCCTACACACCCGAATCAAATAGTGAAGTTTGATTTCCAAAGAGCAAGCTTTCAAAAAATGAGACGACTAATAAAAAGGGCTTTGAAAGGGAAAGTCAGGAGGGTCACATCTCTTCAGAATTATTCAGATCCTTCAAAACAGCAATTAGTGCTCACCTAGGATGTAAATCTCAGATCAGGGAAGCTGCAATCAAATACATGAGAAAGGTAGAAGAGTGAACAAGCAGTTACTGGAGAATATTCATGTAGTATTAGCGATCTACGTTGGTTTGTTTGAATGAATTCCTAAGATAAAATACGAGAAACGTCATAAAATACAAAATAACAGTCCACTTGCCCGCACGATCACCGGGAGAGAAAACCTTTCTTAACTCCCTGTTAAACCCTGCCATATGTTACAGTTCCTGGAGCTCTATCCAACGCGCAGTTCCTCCCAGGTAAGCTTTCCTGATTTTAAGGGGATTTTTTTTCCCAAGAAAGGAACGATAAACTTGCAATCGTCCCCCCCCCGCCCCCGCCGTCCTTTTGCGACTGCCTCCTTACCCAGACAGCCAAGCTCTCCTCAGATTCCTGAAATAAATTGCTTCATTCTCCCCCTCCTGGAAAAACACCACCGCGTATGAACAACGCTCTCAACTCCCGTCTGGCAGGCAGGCAGGCAGGCAGGCCGGCCGGCCGAAGCGCCTCCTTCCCCCTCCGCCGCCCGGCCGCAGCGTCGCCCGGCCCCCCGCGGGAGGACGGGGCACCCCGGGCGGACCCCGGGCGCCCCCCCGTGAC